AGAGTCAAGTGACTTGGTGTATAGCGAGAATAGGAGAGGGCCTAGAACTGAGCCCTGGGGGACACCAGTGGTGAGAGCACGTGGTGCGGAGACAGCTTCTCGCCATGCCACTTGGTAGGAGCGACCGGTCAGGTAGGACGCAATCCAAGAGTGAGCCGCGCCGGAGATGCCCAGCTCGGAGAGGGTGGAGAGGAGGATCTGATGGTTCACAGTATCAAAGGCAGCAGACAGGTCTAGAAGGACAAGAGCAGAGGAGAGAGAGTTAGCTTTAGCAGTGCGGAGAGCCTCCGTGACACAGAGAAGAGCAGTGTCAGTTGAATGACCAATCTTGGAACCTGACTGGTTTGGATCAAGAAGGTCATTCTGAGAGAGATAGCAAGAGAGTTGGCTAAAGACGGCACGCTCGAGTTTTGGAGAGAAAAGAAAGAAGGGATACTGGTCTGTAGTTGTTGACATCAGAGGGATCGAGTGTTGGTTTTTTGAGAAGGGGTGCAACTCTCGCTCTCTTGAAGACGGAAGGGACATAGCCAGCGGTCAAGGATGAGTTGATGAGCGAGGTGAGGTAAGGGAGAAGGTCACTGGAGATGGTCTGGAGAAGAGAGGAGGGGATAGGGTCAAGCGGGCAGGTTGTTGGGCGGCCTGCCGTCACAAGTCGCAAGATTTCATCTGGAGAGAGAGGGGAGAAAGAAGTCAAAGCATAGGGTAGGGCAGTGTGAGCAGGACCAGCAGTGTCATTTAACTTAACAAACGAGGATCGGATGTCGTCAACCTTCTTTTCAAAAAGGTTGACGAAGTCACCCACAGAGAGGGAGGGGGGGGGGGGGGGGGAGGAGGATTCAGCAGGGAGGAGAAGGTGGCAAAGAGCTTCCTAGGGTTAGAGGCAGATGCTTGGAATTTACAGTGGTAGAAAGTGACTTTAGCAGCAGAAACAGATGAAGAAAATGTAGAGAGGAGGGAGTGAAAAGATGCCAGGTCCGCAGGGAGTCTAGTTTTCCTCCATTTCCGCTCGGCTGCCCAGAGCCCTGTTCTGTGAGCTCGCAATGAGTCGTCAAGCCACGGAGCAGGAGGGGAGGACCGAGCCGGCCGGGAGGATAGGGGACATAGAGAGTCAAAGGATGCAGAAAGGGAGGAGAGGAGGGTTGAGGAGGCAGAATCAGGAGATTGAAGGGAGAAGGATTGAGCAGAGGGAAGAGATGATAGGATGGAAGAGGAGAGAGTAGCGGGAGAGAGAGAGCGAAGGTTGCGACGGCGCATTACCATCTGAGTAGGGGCAGAGTGAGTAGTGTTGGAGGAGAGCGAGAGAGAAAAGGATACAAAGTAGTGGTCGGAGACTTGGAGGGGAGTTGCAGTGAGATTAGTAGAAGAACAGCATCTAGTAAAGATGAGGTCAAGCGTATTGCCTGCCTTGTGAGTAGGGGGGGACGGTGAGAGGGTGAGGTCAAAAGAGGAGAGGAGTGGAAAGAAGGAGGCAGAGAGAAATGAGTCAAAGGTAGACGTAGGGAGGTTGAAGTCACCCAGAACTGTGAGGGGTGAGCCATCCTCAGGAAAGGAACTTGTCAAGCTCATTGATGAACTCTCCAAGGAAACCTGGAGGGCGATAAATGAAAAGGAAATGTTAAGCTTGAATGGGCTAGTGACTGTGACAGCATGGAATTCAAATGAGGAGATAGACAGATGGGTCAGGGGAAAAAGAGAGAATGTCCACTTGGGAGAGATGAGGATTCCTGTGCCACCACCCCGCTGACCAGATGCTCTCGGGTATGCGAGAACACATGGTCAGACGAGGAGAGAGCAGTAGGAGTAGCAGTGTTTTCAGTGGTAATCCATGTTTCCGTCAGCGCCAAGAAGTCAAGGGACTGGAGGGTAGCATAGGCTGAGATGAACTCTGCCTTGTTGGCCGCAGAACGGCAGTTCCAGAGGCTGCCGGAACTCGTGCGTGCAGGGACCACCAGGTTAGAGAGGCAGCAGCCACGCGGTGTGAGGCGTTTGTATAGCCTGTGCGGAGAGGAGAGAACAGGGATAGACAGAGGCATAGTTGACAGGCTACAGAAAATGGCTACAATAATGCAAAGGAGATCGGAATGAAATGAACTAAACATCTGGGAAAGCGAGAGAGCGGGGCCTCCCTCACTTACGTTTCACTGAAACACCCAAATATAACTCTCCCAACTTCCACCTCAGAAACTATAATTGTTGTAAACTACAGCGGTTCAATGTTTTCAAGGAATAGACTAACTTAGTTTATTCAGCTAGCTAACTTGGTACAGTATTCTTCCGTGAAAACCGTCCAGGGCACCTAGTCATATGACGCCACAGCCAACTAGCATGCCGGCCTCCAACAACACTGTTTAGCACCAATACTCTGCCACAACAAACCACCAGTGTGTCAACATGCCAAGCAGATCATTCGTGTCCATGTCTAACGTTGTGGGTTAGTCCTGACAGCTTGAGCGAGTCCGTCGTCAACTTATTCAGCCAGTTAGTTAGCTAGAATAGTTAGCATACTAGCTAGCCATTGCTTTCTGCCAACGAAGAAACCCGTCCTCCCACGGCACTAACACACAGAGAGAGCCAAGCTAACATTAACTAGTCACCCATGTCCCAAATTCCCTTGAACGACTCTGGCTACCAGTATGGAAAAACAAAACGCAAATGTAGGTTATAACTTACCCCCAGCAGCTACTGTTAGCTAGCCAAGTGCAAAGCTAGCCACTGAATCGATTCGGCCAGTTTGCGTCTGTTAGCTAGGTCGTTCCAGCTATTGTTTAGTAGCTATCCAGGTAGCAACAAGCTAGCTACATTTCGAGCACAGTAGCTACTTACTACCTAACGTTAACGCTTAATGTATTTTTTTACCATTATTTTTTACATCATTATTATTATGCCCTGTGATGATGTAAAGCCCCAGGTAATTGCCTGTTTTGCCTAATTGTATGTCTGCCACTGACCAAGTGGGAAGGTGGTAATTACAAGTTATGAGGTGGTAAATACCAGTTGGATGCAATGCATTCACGTGCCTTGAACTCGTTGAGAAACGCTTATTGGCTAATGGCCAACAAGCTGCATCAACCATAAACTAAAAGTACAGCTATCATGCTAGTAAACAAATTATAGTGAAAAAAGCTTTTTATAAATTATTTGTTGTTGCATTTAACTGCCCAAAAAGTATGTTATCTAGGTGAGGTCAGCGTTCAGCATGTGGGAGCAGTTAGTCTGAGCTCAGAGCTGATAGACGGGTTTCCCACTAGTAATTACCAATTGGAGGGGCAATCAAGTCGATTTTTCCCAGTCGTATGTGGTAAATAACACCTTCCCACTTGGTTATGAACGCAGCATAACACTCTCCCCGCGGGTCCCTGCGACTGTCACTAACTGTTGCCAAGAGGTTGCCTCTTGAAGTGGTTGCTATAGTATAGGTGTTGAAGTAAGGTCGCTACAATTAAAACAAGGTCGCTACAAATACCTATAAACAAGTAGATGTATAAAAAGGCAACATGGGCTCGCTCACAGTAGTGTTTAACATTGCAGAAACTAAGGTACTTTACTTTCCCAGTGAGTAATGACCTATCTAACTCTGTGGGAAATAATTTGCGCAGAGCTTCCCAGTCCCCACTGTCATTACCTGAGCAACACGACAACAGTCTGGAACGCACCCTTGAAGGAAAGGGTGGCGCAATCCAAATGCCTTAGCCAATGGTGAAGAACGACGAAGGTCAAGGGGCGGGTTCAGAATTGTAAACAGCTAATGAATTTCACTGGATTGTCTTGAACAACGAAGTACTGTATTTTGGATTGAAAGTACCTCACTGTCATGGCTGTGGTTTTACGCAACATTTCACCGTGGCGATTTGTCAGATTTGCCAGGTAAGATTAGCTATAAAGAATACACTCACTTGCAAAGTGGATTTACAGCTAATTTAATATAGCCTGTGGTGCACGAATTTGAGGTCAAACCATAGACCATAAACTGAGTTGCCTGGAAAATGTCATTTTTTACCTTTAGTTGTTGTGTATGCCGGGAGCTACGTTAGCTACCATTATAGCCCAATCGTCATTGCGAATAGTTATTATTTTATTTTCACCATGCAGTTTTGGCTGGTTGCCACGAGAGCCTGTTAAAACTCGGTGCCTGTATTTAAAGAAGTTGTCTCAAAGATGTAATGTTCTGCACGAGCTAGGGCTGTCTGTCTTGCTTGGAATGAAGTTTAGCTTGCTAGTTTAGCTAACGTTAGCTATCTCTAAGCTGTTCTGGAGTGCAACCGTACAGTACGCTGCAGTTATTCTGCAATTTCTGCGTCCAAAATACCACAGTCGACTGAATTTACAGCACTTTTACTGCAGTTTCCAAACTGCCATCTTTTTTTGTAAGGGACAATATAAAAACAGCACATAAATGACCTAACATTCCAATGTATCAGCTACCACGACAAACACCTGCACAATGACCTGTTGCTAGGACGTGGGGCAAAGGGCATAGCTAGCTGTTAGAAGGCTAGTTACTTTAGTTAGCCTTTCAACAGCTAGCCATGCCCTTGGCCCCACATCCAGGCGTAGGTTGGAGCCCTGTCTATCCAAAGACACCCTCTTTGGTCTAACTAGCTACCAATGAATGAAAACCAGAGGAAAGGTCGCATAACTCATTCTTGATGGCCCATCCAATGCTGTCACTACATTGTATCAGAAACTGTACTGTAACTCTCAGTACATTGTTAAGGTTCGTCTTGTTCTGATCCTCCTCATATATATTACAATTAATTATTTAGAAAGGCCACTGTAGGTGTTTGGATCTAATTTAATGTCCTCAGCCAAGTTCAGTTAATTTGTGCTTCACCATTTTATTGGAAAAATTAGGCTTATAAAATAATTTAGCCTTTGTGGCAGTCAGTAATTGTTTTTGAAACTGTACCAGTTATGTCACTAATTTGTCCTGAAATCATCTCTTCAGGGCAGTCCAAGTCGCACACATTCCCAATCTGAAGCTGCACACGACTGGTTCTATGATGGGGGCGACGGTGGAGCAATTCAATCATGCCAAGAGTCAGATGGGCACGCTGAAGGAAGACCCTGGCAATGAGGCCAAGCTGAAAATCTATGCTCTCTTCAAACAGGTTAGAGGTCATTGTGCTTTAGTCTTAACTACTTGGCTGTTATGTCTCTGAACATCAAGAGCAATGTTCCCTCTAATCTTTTTCGTCAATGAGCAAATTTCAGGTCTTAAATATTGTGAAAATTCTGTGCAACCTCCAGGGCATTTACTGTGAACACTGAGGCTGTACCCGCTTTAGGTTGCAGTTTTAAGTGGCCAATAAGGCTACTGTGGCTATTTGATCATGTAGGCCTACCAGAGTGGCCAACCATCAAAAACGGTGGAGAAAAATGCATCCCATAATATTTTAACATGAAAATGTTTACATACACTTAGGTTGGAGTCATTAACTTGTTTTTCAACCACTCCATACATTTCTTGTTAACAAACTATAGTTTTGGCAAGTCGGTTAGGACATCTACTTTGTGCATGACGCAAGTAATTTTTCCAACAATTGTTTACAGACAGATTATTTCACTTATAATTCACTGTATCACAATTCCAGTGGGTCAGAAGTTTACATACACTAAGTTGACTGTGCCTTTAAACAGCTTGGAAAATTCCAGAAAATGATGTCATGGCTTTAGAAGCTTCTGATAGGCTAATTGACATCATTTGAGTCAATTGGAGGTGTACCTGTGGATGTATTTCAAGACCTTCCTTCAAACTCAGAGCGTCTTTGCTTGACATCATGGGAAAATCAAAAGAAATCAGCCAAGACCTCAGAAAAAAAAAAAGTAGACCTCCACAAGTCTGGTTCATCCTTGGGAGCAATTTCCAAACGCCTGAAGGTACCACTTTCATCTGTACAAACAATAGTACGCAGGTATAAACACCATGGGACCACGCAGCCGTCATACCGCTCAGGAAGGAGACGTGTTCTGTCTCCTAGAGATGAATGTACTTTGGTGCGAAAAGTGCAAATCAATCCCAGAACAATAGCAAAGGACCTTGTGAAGATGCTGGAGGAAGCAGGTACAAAAATATCTATATCCACAGTAAAACGAGTCCTATATCGACATACAGTGGGGGGGAAAAAAAGTATTTAGTCAACCACCAATTGTGCAAGTTCTCCCACTTAAAAAGATGAGAGAGGCCTGTAATTTTCATCATAGGTACACGTCAACTATGACAGACAAATTGAGAAAAAAAAATCCAGAAAATCACATTGTAGGATTTTTTATGAATTTATTTGCAAATTATGGTGGAAAATAAGTATTTGGTCACCTACAAACAAGCAAGATTTCTGGCTCTCACAGACCTGTAACTTCTTCTTTAAGAGGCTCCTCTGTCCTCCACTCGTTACCTGTATTAATGGCACCTGTTTGAACTTGTTATCAGTATAAAAGACACCTGTCCACAACCTCAAACAGTCACACTCCAAACTCCACTATGGCCAAGACCAAAGAGCTGTCAAAGGACACCAGAAACAAAATTGTAGACCTGCACCAGGCTGGGAAGACTGAATCTGCAATAGGTAAGCAGCTTGGTTTGAAGAAATCAACTGTGGGAGCAATTATTAGGAAATGGAAGACATACAAGACCACTGATAATCTCCCTCGATCTGGGGCCCCACGCAAGATCTCACCCCGTGGGGTCAAAATGATCACAAGAACGGTGAGCAAAAATCCCAAAACCACACGGGGGGACCTAGTGAATGACCTGCAGAGAGCTGGGACCAAAGTAACAAAGCCTACCATCAGTAACACACTACGCCGCCAGGGACTCAAATCCTGCAGTGCCAGACGTGTCCCCCTGCTTAAGCCAGTACATGTCCAGGCCTGTCTGAAGTTTGCTAGAGTGCATTTGGATGATCCAGAAGAGGATTGGGAGAATGTCAGATGAAACCAAAATAGAACTTTTTGGTAAAAACTCAACTCGTCGTGTTTGGAGGACAAAGAATGCTGAGTTGCATTCAAAGAACACCATACCTACTGTGAAGCATGGGGGTGGAAACATCATGCTTTGGGGCTGTTTTTCTGCAAAGGGACCAGGACGACTGATCCGTGTAAAGGAAAGAATGAATGGGGCCATGTATCGTGAGATTTTGAGTGAAAACCTCCTTCCATCAGCAAGGGCATTGAAGATGAAACATGGCTGGGTCTTTCAGCATGACAATGATCCCAAACACACCGCCCGGGCAACGAAGGAGTAGCTTCGTAAGAAGCATTTCAAGGTCCTGGAGTGGCCTAGCCAGTCTCCAGATTCAACCCCATAGAAAATCTTTGGAGGGAGTTGAAAGTCCGTGTTGCCCAGCGACAGCCCCAAAACATCACTGCTCTAGAGGAGATCTGCATGGAGGAATGGGCCAAAATACCAGCAACAGTGTGTGAAAACCTTGTGAAGACTTACAGAAAACGTTTGACCTGTGTCATTGCCAACAAAGGGTATATAACAAAGTATTGAGAAACTTTTGTTATTGACCAAATACTTATTTTCCACCATAATTTGCAAATAAATTCATTAAAAATCCTACAATGTGATTTTCTGGATTTTTTTTTCTCATTTTGTCTGTCATAGTTGACGTGTACCTATGATGAAAAATACAGGCCTCTCATCTTTTTAAGTGGGAGAACTTGCACAATTGGTGGCTGACTAAATACTTTTTTCCCCCACTGTAACCTGAAAGGCCGCTCAGCAAGGAAGAAGCCACTACTCCAAAACCGCCATAAAAAAAGCCAGACTACGGTTTGCAACTGCACATGGGGACAAAGATCGTGCTTTTTGGAGAAATGTCCTCTGGTCTGATGAAACAAAAGTAGAACTGTTTGGCCATAATGACCATCGTTATGTTTGGAGGAAAAAGGGGGCAGCTTGCATTGGAGTGGCCATCACAAAGCCCTGACCTCAATCCTATAGAACATTTGTGGGCAGAACTGAAAAAGCGTGTGCGAGCAAGGAGGCCTACAAACCTGACTCAGTTACACCAGCTCTGTCTGGAGGAATTGGCCAAAATCCACCCAATTTATTGTGGGAAGCTTGTGGAAGGCTACCTGAAACATTTGACCCAAGTTAAACAATTTAAAGGCAATGCTACCAAATACTAATTGAGTGTATGTAAACTTCTGACCCACTGGGAATGTGATGAAAGAAATAAAAGCTGAAATAAATCATTCTCTCTACTATTATTCTGACATTTCACATTCTTAAAATCAAGCGGTGATCCTAACTGACCTAAGACAGGGCATTTTTACTAAGATTAAATTTCAGGAATTGTGAAAAACGGAGTTTAAATGTATTTGGCTAAGGTGTATGTAAACTTCCGACTTCAACTGTATGTGCTTAATTTAGAGTTATTAATGTAACTTTAGTTGTTCTACAAATGTTGGGCTATATGTTTTGATTTTTAATACATTGTATGGCTGCATGATGCAACTCTAATGATGATTTGAAAAAAGTCACTTGAAAGGCATGAGCTCTGCTTAGTTTTTTGCGCCTTTTCCAGCCCTTCTCCCTAAATGCTGCCCGCTCCGAAGCACCTCTCATCTCACACGGCTCTCCATCACGTGTTCGGGTCTTCCTCACAAGCTACAAGTGAAGACGGACACATCGGTGACGCAATTGCGCTCGTCCTTATCCAACTCACTGTAAGCGCCGGAAGAAGATGGCTGCCGTTTTACAGCCCTCTAACCAATTGTACTATTATGTGTGTTTTTCCGCGTTATTTGTAATTTATTTTGTACATAATGTTTCTGCCATCGTCTCTTATAACCAAAGAGAGCTTCTGGATATCAGGACAGCGATTACTCACCTCGCGTTGGACGAACACTTTTTCTTCAACGAGGCGTTCGCGAAGGATATTCTACAGACTCCCGACAAGGCCCAGATCCCCGTCATTCGCGTGAGGAAGAGACGGAGATATCGTGGACGTAGGTCGGGGTGCCTTGTAAGGATCCGACGGCGAACGAGTAAACTGCCTCTCCCATCAATCCTATTAGCCAACGTTCAAGCTTTGGAGAATAAAATGGACGATTTAAGATTACGGTTATCCTACCAACGGGACATTAAAAACTGTAATATCTTATGTTTCACGGAGTCGTGGCTGAACGACGACAATGATAACATTCAGCTAGCAGGCTATACGCTACATCGGCAGGACAGAACGGCAGACTCGGGTAAGACGAGGGGTGGCGGTCTCTGTATATTTGTAAACAACAGCTGGTGCACCAAATCAAATACTAAGGAAGTCTCAAGGTTTTGCTCGCCTGAGGTAGAGTATCTTATGATAAGCTGCAGACCACACTATTTACCAAGAGAGTTTTCATCTATATTTTTCATAGCTGTCTATTTACCACCACAAACCAATGCTGGCATTAAGATTGCACTGAATGAGTTGTACAAGGCCATTAATCAACAGGAAAACGCTCATCCAGATGCAGCGCTCCTAGTAGCAGGGGACTTTAATGCAGGGAAACTTAAATCCGTTCTACCTAATTTCTACCAGCATGTTAAATGTGCAACCAGAGGGGAAAAAACTCTAGACCACCTTTACTCCACACACAGAGACGCATACAAAGCTCTCCCTCGCCCTCCATTTGGCAAATCTGACCATAACTCTATCCTCCTGATTCCTGCTTATAAGCAAAAACTGAAGCAGGAATCACCAGTGATTCGGCTAATAAAAAAGTGGTCAGATGACGCAGATGCTAAGCTACAGGACTGTTTTGCTAGCACAGACTGGAACATGTTCCGGGATTCTTCAGACAACATTGAGGAGTACACCACATCAGTCACTGGCTTCATCAATAAGTGCATCGATGATGTCGTCCCCACAGTGACCGTACGTACATACCCCAACCAGAAGCCATGGATTACAGGAAACATCCGCACTGAGCTAAAGGGTAGAGCTGCCGCTTTCAAGGAACGGGACTCTAACCCGGAGGCTTATAAGAAATCCCGCTATGACCTCCGACGAACCATCAAACAGGCAAAGAGTCAATACAGGTCTAAGATTGAATCATACTACACTGGCTCTGACGCTCGTCGGATGTGGCAGGGCTTGAAAACTATTACAGACTACAAAGGGAAGCACAGCCGCGAGCTGCCCAGTGACACAAGCCTACCAGACGAGCTAAACCACTTCTATGCTCGCTTCGAGGCAAGCAACACTGAAGCATGCATGAGAGCACCAGCTGTTCCGGACGACTATGTGATCACGCTCTCCGTAGCCGATGTGAGTAAGACTTTTAAGCAGGTCAACATTCACAAGGCCGCAGGGCCAGACGGATTACCAGGACGTGTACTCCGAGCATGTGCTGACCAACTGGCAAGTGTCTTCACTGACATTTTCAACATGTCCCTGACTGAGTCTGTAATACCAACATGTTTCAAGCAGACCACCATAGTCCCCGTGCCCAAGAACTCTAAGATAACCTGCCTAAATGACTACCGACCCGTGGCACTGACGTCTGTAGCCATGAAGTGCTTTGAAAGACTGGTCATGGCTCACATCAACAGCATAATCCCAGAAACCCTAGACCCACTCCAATTTGCATACCGCCCCAACAGATCCACAGATGATGCAATCTCTATCGCACTCCACACTGCCCTTTCCCACCTGGACAAGAGGAACACCTACGTGAGAATGCTATTCATTGACTACAGCTCAGCATTCAACACCATAGTGCCCTCAAAGCTCATCACTAAGCTAAGGATCCTGGGACTAAACACCTCCCTCTGCAACTGGATCCTGGACTTCCTGACGGGCCGCCCCCAGGTGGTAAGGGTAGGTAACAACACATCTGCCACACTGATCCTCAACACGGGGGCCCCTCAGGGGTGCGTGCTCAGTCCCCTCCTGTACTCTCTGTTCACCCATGACTGCATGGCCAGGCACGACTCCAACACCATCATTAAGTTTGCCGACGACACAACAGTGGTAGGCCTGATCACCGACAACGATGAGACAGCCTATAGGGAGGAGGTCAGAGATCTGGCCGTGTGGTGCCAGGACAACAACCTCTCCCTCAACGTGACCAAGACAAAGGAGATGATTGTGGACTACAGGAAAAAAAAGAGGACTGAGCACGCCCCCATTCTCATCGACGGGGCTGTAGTGGAACAGGTTGAGAGCTTCAAGTTCCTTGGTGTCCACATCACCAACGAACTATCATGGTCCAAACACACCAAGACAGTCGTGAAGAGGGCACGACAAAGCCTATTCCCCCTCAGGAGACTAAAAAGATTTGGCATGGGTCCTCAGATCCTCAAAAAATTCTACAGCTGCACCATCGAGAGCATCCTGACTGGTTGCATCACCGCCTGGTATGGCAACTGCTTGGCCTCTGACCGCAAGGCACTACAGAGGGTAGTGCGTACGGCCCAGTACATCACAGGGGCAAAGCTCCCTGCCATCCAGGACCTCTATACCAGGCGGTGTCAGAGGAAGGCCCTCAAAATTGTCAAAGACTCCAGTCACCCTAGTCATAGACTGTTCTCTCTGCTACCGCACGGCAAGCGGTACCGGAGTGCCAAGTCTAGGTCCAAAAGACTTCTCAACAGCTTCTACCCCCAAGCCATAAGACTCCTGAACAGCTAATCATGGCTACCCGGACTATTTGCACTGCCCCCCCACCCCATACTTTTTACGCTGCTGCTACTCTGTTAAGTATTTATGCATAGTCACTTTAACTCTACCCACATGTACATATTACCTCAACTACCTCAACTAGCCGGTGCCCCCGCACATTGACTATGCAACGGTACCCCCCTGTATATATAGCCTCCCTACTGTCACTTTATTCTATTGTATATATAGCCTAACTACTGTCACTTTATTTTTACTTCTGCTCTTTTTTTCTCAACACTTTTTTTGTTGTTGTTTTATTCTTACTTTTTTTGTTTAAAATAAATGCACTGTTGGTTAAGGGCTGTAAGTAAGCATTTCACTGTAATGTCTGCACCTGTTGTATTCGGCGCATGTGACCAATAAAATTTGATTTGATTTGATTTGAATTCCGAGATGCATATTGAAGATATTGGAAGAACTGTCCACATTTACTTTTCGTCAGCCAACAATATGAGTAGGCCTAACGAACAGCAAAAGCTCTAGCCTATGTCAATCTACTATCCCCCATAGTACAAAGGTCAACCTATTCTGTGCGAGAAATAAATATTCCAAACATGTTGTGGGATGCGATAGATCCCAAATTAATACAACCACTAGCATCAAAAAACCTTTTTTTACGCAATGTGGCTGACGCAAGAGATCAGAATGTTTAGCTTAAAATGATGATAAAATATTAGGCAATTTCTTCACATTATAAGCGCAGCAATGCGCACGTGGTAGTAGGCTATAAGCGCGAATGTTCCATTAGTGGAAAACACCATTATCAAAAGTGACGTAAATACAATTATGCATGTAATGCTTTTATTATAAAGGTGCATTTTTATGGTGAAAATTATCTTCCCCAAACTTGAAACTCACGCGCTGCTTATGTATGCCAGTTAGTCTCTACACTCCTTGTAAAGCGGATGAATGTGCTTAATTTGGCCACTTTAGTTGTGATACAAACCTTATTAAAACATATAGGCCTATGGGCTAGGCTACCTGAGGTGTGTGACTATGATTTACAAATGTAAAAAAAAAAGCCATGGTTTCTTATGCTGGGCATCATTCACAAGTGATAATATAGAATTCACAAGTGATAGGCTAATATTGTCACCATCAGACTATTATTGATTTAATCTTGTCTTTACATATACTAAATAATATGTGTGAAATTTGTTTTGCTTTAGAATGGACCGTTATCATGCACCTGTATCGAAACAGGGTCAGCGGAAAAAAATACATCTCATCTATGCAATTAAATAGCAAATGGAGGATGCTTTTCCCCGTGGTTTATTTTCACGCCAGCCAGGTAGGCTATACTCCTTTTGTAAAGAGAAGCAATGTGCTTAATATTAGGAAAGTTGAGAAATAAATATAGTAGGTCTAGCCTATAGAAAGCTGATGGGATCCTCCTCCTTTTTAGTAGAGGCCATCACTCTGTTTTCTCGCGGAATTGCATAGCCTATTGAAATGTTGCGCAACATGAACTCATGGGCTCTCATGTAGTGTTTCATTAGATTTTCGATTACATTTGCATTGATGTCAGAGTGATTAGAGGGTCAATAGAGTGCTGAGTACCAGGCAGTTAGCAAGTTTGGTAGGCTACTAATGACCATCAGCAGCATCAGAGCTTGGAGAAGCCTAATTATCGTGACTAAACAGTCACGTGGAATTTGACTGCCTTTTTGACTCGTGACCGCCGGTGTGGCGGTAATACGGTCACCGCAACAGCCTTAGGCATGATCCTGGACAACACCCTGTCGTTCTCCGCAAACAACAAAGCAGTGACCTGCTCCTGCAGGTTCATGCTTTACAACATCCGTAGAGTACAACCCTACCTCACACAGGAAGCGGCGAAGGTCCTAATCCGGGCACTTGTCCTCTCCCGTCTGGACTACTGCAAGTCGCTGTTGGCTGGGTTCCCCGCTTGTGCCATCAAACCCCTGCAACTTGTCCAGAACGCAGCAGCCCACCTGGTTTTCAACCTTCTCAAATTCTCTCACGTCACCCGCTCCTCCACACACTCCACAGGCTTCCAGTCAAAGCTTGCATCCACTGCAAGACCATGGTGCTTACCTACGGAACGTCAAGAGGAACTGCCCCTCCCTACCTTCAGGCTATGCTCAAACCCTACACCTCAACACGAGCACTCCGTTCTGCCACCTCAGGTCTCATGGTCTCCACCCCTATGGGAGGGTAGCTCCCGTTCAGCCCAGTCCACGCTCTTCTCTGTCCTGCACCCCAATGGTGGAACCAGCTTCCCCCTGAAGCTAGGACAGCAGAGTCCCTGTCCATTTTCCGAAAGTCGCTCTGGATAAGAGTGTCTGCTAAATAATGTTACCACCCATGACTGTATTTGTTAGTGACAGAGACGTGGTTGTTGCATTCATCAATCTTTTGTCCTGTGGACTTCAACAAGTGAGATCCTAAGTGAATATTTTATCACAATGTTTTTCACAATGTTCCTAACCCTGGCAGTCATTCTGAATGCAGGTTAATACAAATCCCAACTGTTGGATGTCCTATCTCTGGGTGGATTCCAATAGGCATTAAACATCAGTATAATGTGACTTGCATGTAGGGTTGCAGAATTCTGGTAACTTTCCCAAATCTCCCAGGTTTTCCTGAAATCATTTGGAATCTGCCTCTCAACTGGAGGGAATTATCAGGAAATCCAGAATCCTTCAACCAGGATTTCTGGAAAACTTTACTTGCAGGCCTGATGTGGCTTGTAAACCATGAGTGTCAGGCCACTGTATTTGGGTAACACTAGGCCTAAAAATTAGGCCTTGTGAAATATGTAATTTATTGGCATGAATTTTTATGATAACATTCACCTAGGAACTCACTTGGTGAAGACCACAGATTGAAAATGAATGAATTCAACAACCATGTCTCTGTCACTAACAAATACAGTCATGGGTAGTAACTCTATAATTCACTCAAAGGCAAGGTACAAAGGGAGATTATATTGGAGGCATGGCTTAGTGGGGGTGGAAGTGTTGAGTGGAGGTGTTGTATCAGTTTTTGGTCTATGGTAGAGGTACATTATTACCACTTACAAGGAACAAATGGCTTTGTCAGTGTGGTGATACCTAATGTGTTACAGTGGGGGAAAAAAGTATTTAGTCAGCCACCAATTGTGCAAGTTCTCCCACTTAAAAAGATGAGAGATGCCTGTAATTTTCATCATATGTACACGTCAACTATGACAGACAAAATGAGAAAAAAAAAATCCAGAAACTCACATTGTAGGATTTTTAATGAATTTATTTGCAAATTATGGTGAAAAATAAGTATTTGGTCAACTTCAAACAAGCAAGATTTCTGGCTCTCACAGACCTGTAACTTCTTCTTTAAGAGGCTCCTCTGTCCTCCACTCGTTACCTGTATTAATGGCACCTGTTTGAACTTGTTATCAGTATAAAAGACACCTGTCCACAACCTCAAACAGTCACACTCCAAACTCCACTATGGCCAAGACCAAAGAGCTGTCAAAGGACACCAGAAACAAAATTGTAGACCTGCACCAGGCTGGGAAGACTGAATCTGCAATAGGTAAGCAGCTTGGTTTGAAGAAATCAACTGTGGGAGCAATTATTAGGAAATGGAAGACATACAAGACCACTGATAATCTCCCTCGATCTGGGGCCCCACGCAAGATCTCACCCCGTGGGGTCAAAATGATCACAAGAACGGTGAGCAAAAATCCCAGAACCACACAGGGGGACCTAGTGAATGACCTGCAGAGAGCTGGGACCAAAGTAACAAAGCCTACCATCAGTAACACACTACGCCGCCAGGGACTCAAATCCTGCAGTGCCAGACGTGTCCCCCTGCTTAAGCCAGTACATGTCCAGGCCTGTCTGAAGTTTGCTAGAGTGCATTTGGATGATCCAGAAGAGGATTGGGAGAATGTCAGATGAAACCAAAATATAACTTTTTGGTAAAAACTCAACTCGTCGTGTTTGGAGGACAAAGAATGCTGAGTTGCATTCAAAGAACACCATACCTACTGTGAAGCATGGGGGTGGAAACATCATGCTTTGGGGCTGTTTTTCTGCAAAGGGACCAGGACGACTGATCCGTGTAAAGGAAAGAATGAATGGGGCCATGTATCGTGAGATTTTGAGTGAAAACCTCCTTCCATCAGCAAGGGCATTGAAGATGAAACATGGCTGGGTCTTTCAGCATGACAATGATCCCAAACACACCGCCCGGGCAACGAAGGAGTAGCTTCGTAAGAAGCATTTCAAGGTCCTGGAGTGGCCTAGCCAGTCTCCAGATTCAACCCCATAGAAAATCTTTGGAGGGAGTTGAAAGTCCGTGTTGCCCAGCGACAGCCCCAAAACATCACTGCTCTAGAGGAGATCTGCATGGAGGAATGGGCCAAAATACCAGCAACAGTGTGTGAAAACCTTGTGAAGACTTACAGAAAACGTTTGACCTGTGTCATTGCCAACAAAGGGTATATAACAAAGTATTGAGAAACTTTTGTTATTGACCAAATACTTATTTTCCACCATAATTTGCAAATAAATTCATTAAAAATCCTACAATGTGATTTTCTGGATTTTTTTTCTCATTTTGTCTGTCATAGTTGACGTGTACCTATGATGAAAAATACAGGCCTCTCATCTTTTTAAGTGGGAGAACTTGCACAATTGGTGGCTGACTAAATACTTTTTTCCCCCACTGTAACCTGAAAGGCCGCTCAGCAAGGAAGAAGCCACTACTCCAAAACCGCCATAAAAAAAGCCAGACTACGGTTTGCAACTGCACATGGGGACAAAGATCGTGCTTTTTGGAGAAATGTCCTCTGGTCTGATGAAACAAAAGTAGAACTGTTTGGCCATAATGACCATCGTTATGTTTGGAGGAAAAAGGGGGCAGCTTGCATTGGAGTGGCCATCACAAAGCCCTGACCTCAATCCTATAGAACATTTGTGGGCAGAACTGAAAAAGCGTGTGCGAGCAAGGAGGCCTACAAACCTGACTCAGTTACACCAGCTCTGTCTGGAGGAATTGGCCAAAATCCACCCAATTTATTGTGGGAAGCTTGTGGAAGGCTACCTGAAACATTTGACCCAAGTTAAACAATTTAAAGGCAATGCTACCAAATACTAATTGAGTGTATGTAAACTTCTGACCCACTGGGAATGTGATGAAAGAAATAAAAGCTGAAATAAATCATTCTCTCTACTATTATTCTGACATTTCACATTCTTAAAATCAAGCGGTGATCCTAACTGACCTAAGACAGGGCATTTTTACTAAGATTAAATTTCAGGAATTGTGAAAAACGGAGTTTAAATGTATTTGGCTAAGGTGTATGTAAACTTCCGACTTCAACTGTATGTGCTTAATTTAGAGTTATTAATGTAACTTTAGTTGTTCTACAAATGTTGGGCTATATGTTTTGATTTTTAATACATTGTATGGCTGCATGATGCAACTCTAATGATGATTTGAAAAAAGTCACTTGAAAGGCATGAGCTCTGCTTAGTTTTTTGCGCCTTTTCCAGCCCTTCTCCCTAAATGCTGCCCGCTCCGAAGCACCTCTCATCTCACACGGCTCTCCATCACGTGTTCGGGTCTTCCTCACAAGCTACAAGTGAAGACGGACACATCGGTGACGCAATTGCGCTCGTCCTTATCCAATTCCGAGATGCATATTGAAGATATTGGAAGAACTGTCCACATTTACTTTTTGTCAGCCAACAATATGAGTAGGCCTAACGAACAGCAAAAGCTCTAGCCTATGTCAATCTACTATCCCCCATAGTACAAAGGTCAACCTATTCTGTGCGAGAAATAAATATTCCAAACATGTTGTGGGATGCGATAGATCCCAAATTAATACAACCACTAGCATCAAAAAACCTTTTTTTACGCAATGTGGCTGACGCAAGAGATCAGAATGTTTAGCTTAAAATTATGATAAAATATTAGGCAATTTCTTCACATTATAAGCGCAGCAATGCGCACGTGGTAGTAGGCTATAAGCGCGAATGTTCCATTAGTGGAAAACACCATTATCAAAAGTGACGTAAATACAATTATGCATGTAATGCTTTTATTATAAAGGTGCATTTTTATGGTGAAAATTATCTTCCCCAAACTTGAAACTCACGCGCTGCTTATGTATTCCAGTTAGTCTCTACACTCCTTGTAAAGCGGATGAATGTGCTTAATTTGGCCACTTTAGTTGTGATACAAACCTTATTAAAACATATAGGCCTATGGGCTAGGCTACCTGAGGTGTGTGACTATGATTTACAAATGTAAAAAAAAAAGCCATGGTTTCTTATGCTGGGCATCATTCACAAGTGATAATATAGAATTCACAAGTGATAGGCTAATATTGTCACCATCAGACTATTATTGATTTAATCTTGTCTTTACATATACTAAATAATATGTGTGAAATTTGTTTTGCTTTAGAATGGACCGTTATCATGCACCTGTATCGAAACAGGGTCAGCGGAAAAAAATACATCTCATCTATGCAATTAAATAGCAAATGGAGGATGCTTTTCCCCGTGGTTTATTTTCACGCCAGCCAGGTAGGCTATACTCCTTTTGTAAAGAGAAGCAATGTGCTTAATATTAGGAAAGTTGAGAAATAAATATAGTAGGTCTAGCCTATAGAAAGCTGATGGGATCCTCCTCCTTTTTAGTAGAGGCCATCACTCTGTTTTCTCGCGGAATTGCATAGCCTATTGAAATGTTGCGCAACATGAACTCATGGGCTCTCATGTAGTGTTTCATTAGATTTTCGATTACATTTGCATTGATGTCAGAGTGATTAGAGGGTCAATAGAGTGCTGAGTACCAGGCAGTTAGCAAGTTTGGTAGGCTACTAATGACCATCAGCAGCATCAGAGCTTGGAGAAGCCTAATTATCGTGACTAAACAGTCACGTGGAATTTGACTGCCTTTTTGACTCGTGACCGCCGGTGTGGCGGTAATACGGTCACCGCAACAGCCTTAGGCATGATCCTGGACAACACCCTGTCGTTCTCCGCAAACAACAAAGCAGTGACCTGCTCCTGCAGGTTCATGCTTTACAACATCCGTAGAGTACAACCCTACCTCACACAGGAAGCGGCGAAGGTCCTAATCCAGGCACTTGTCCTCTCCCGTCTGGACTACTGCAAGTCGCTGTTGGCTGGGTTCCCCGCTTGTGCCATCAAACCCCTGCAACTTGTCCAGAACGCAGCAGCCCACCTGGTTTTCAACCTTCTCAAATTCTCTCACGTCACCCGCTCCTCCACACACTCCACAGGCTTCCAGTCAAAGCTTGCATCCACTGCAAGACCATGGTGCTTACCTACGGAACGTCAAGAGGAACTGCCCCTCCCTACCTTCAGGCTATGCTCAAACCCTACACCTCAACACGAGCACTCCGTTCTGCCACCTCAGGTCTCATGGTCTCCACCCCTATGGGAGGGTAGCTCCCGTTCAGCCCAGTCCACGCTCTTCTCTGTCCTGCACCCCAATGGTGGAACCAGCTTCCCCCTGAAGCTAGGACAGCAGAGTCCCTGTCCATTTTCCGAAAGTCGCTCTGGATAAGAGTGTCTGCTAAATAATGTTACCACCCATGACTGTATTTGTTAGTGACAGAGACGTGGTTGTTGCATTCATCAATCTTTTGTCCTGTGGACTTCAACAAGTGAGATCCTAAGTGAATATTTTATCACAATGTTTTTCACAATGTTCCTAACCCTGGCAGTCATTCTGAATGCAGGTTAATACAAATCCCAACTGTTGGATGTCCTATCTCTGGGTGGATTCCAATAGGCATTAAACATCAGTATAATGTGACTTGCATGTAGGGTTGCAGAATTCTGGTAACTTTCCCAAATTTCCCAGGTTTTCCTGAAATCATTTGGAATCTGCCTCTCAACTGGAGGGAATTATCAGGAAATCCAGAATCCTTCAACCAGGATTTCTGGAAAACTTTACTTGCAGGCCTGATGTGGCTTGTAAACCATGAGTGTCAGGCCACTGTATTTGGGTAACACTAGGCCTAAAAATTAGGCCTTGTGAAATATGTAATTTATTGGCATGAATTTTTATGATAACATTCACCTAGGAACTCACTTGGTGAAGACCACAGATTGAAAATGAATGAATTCAACAACCATGTCTCTGTCACTAACAAATACAGTCATGGGTAGTAACTCTATAATTCACTCAAAGGCAAGGTACAAAGGGAGATTATATTGGAGGCATGGCTTAGTGGGGGTGGAAGTGTTGAGTGGAGGTGTTGTATCAGTTTTTGGTCTATGGTAGAGGTACATTATTACCACTTACAAGGAACAAATGGCTTTGTCAGTGTGGTGATACCTAATGTGTTACAGTGGGGAAAAAAAGTATTTAGTCAGCCACCAATTGTGCAAGTTCTCCCACTTAAAAAGATGAGAGATGCCTGTAATTTTCATCATATGTACACGTCAACTATGACAGACAAAATGAGAAAAAAAAATCCAGAAACTCACATTGTAGGATTTTTAATGAATTTATTTGCAAATTATGGTGAAAAATAAGTATTTGGTCAACTTTAAACAAGCAAGATTTCTGGCTCTCACAGACCTGTAACTTCTTCTTTAAGAGGCTCCTCTGTCCTCCACTCGTTACCTGTATTAATGGCACCTGTTTGAACTTGTTATCAGTATAAAAGACACCTGTCCACAACCTCAAACAGTCACACTCCAAACTCCACTATGGCCAAGACCAAAGAGCTGTCAAAGGACACCAGAATCAAAATTGTAGACCTGCACCAGGCTGGGAAGACTGAATCTGCAATAGGTAAGCAGCTTGGTTTGAAGAAATCAACTGTGGGAGCAATTATTAGGAAATGGAAGACATACAAGACCACTGATAATCTCCCTCGATCTGGGGCTCCACGCAAGATCTCACCCCTTGGGGTCAAAATGATCACAAGAACGGTGAGCAAAAATCCCAGAACCACACGGGGGGACCTAGTGAATGACCTGCAGAGAGCTGGGACCAAAGTAACAAAGCCTACCATCAGTAACACACTACGCCGCCAGGGACTCAAATCCTGCAGTGCAAGACGTGTCCCCCTGCTTAAGCCAGTACATGTCCAGGCCCGTCTGAAGTGCATTTGGATGATCCAGAAGAGGATTGGGAGAATGTCATATGGTCAGATGAAACCAAAATATAACTTTTTGGTAAAAACTCAACTCGTCATGTTTGGAGGACAAAGAATGCTGAGTTGCATCCAAAGAACACCATACCTACTGTGAAGCATGGGGGTGGAAACATCATGCTTTGGGGCAGTTTTTCTGCAAAGGGACCAGGACGACTGATCCGTGTAAAGGAAAGAATGAATGGGGCCATGTATCGTGAGATTTTGAGTGAAAACCTCCTTCCATCAGCAAGGGCATTGAAGATGAAATGTGGCTGAGTCTTTCAGCATGACAATGATCCCAAACACACCGCCCGGGCAACGAAGGAGTGGCTTCGTAAGAAGCATTTCAAGGTCCTGGAGTGGCCTAGCCAGTCTCCAGATCTCAACCCCATAGAAAATCTTTGGTGGGAGTTGAAAGTCTGTGTTGCCCAGCGACAGCCTCAAAACATCACTGCTCTAGAGGATATCTGCATGGAGGAATGGGCCAAAATACCAGCAACAGTGTGTGAAAACCTTGTGAAGACTTACAGAAAACGTTTGACCTGTGTCATTGCCAACAAAGGGTATATAACAAAGTATTGAGAAACTTTTGTTATTGACCAAATACTTATTTTCCACCATCATTTGCAAATAAATTCATTAAACATCCTACAATGTGATTTTCTGGATTATTTTTTCTCATTTTGCCTGTCATAGTTGACGTGTACCTATGATGAAAATTACAGGCCTCTCTCATCTTTTTAAGTGGGAGAACTTGCACAATTGGTGGCTGACTAAATACTTTTTTCCCCCACTGTATGTACCTATAACTAATGGTACAAAGCAAATGTTTATAACCCCTTAAGAACAAAACAAACAAAAACAATTGTATGAGTAATACACAGGCCTGCAAGTCACATTGTGCTGGCTTGCAAAGTGATTCGTAATTCCTATTGGTAGTGATGTTACGTTTGATGCCGGAGCTCTGAGGAATGCACCGAAATCGCTAAGCAGTGTACTTCAAAGCAGTGTGCCTATTCTGCCCTGGAATTGCGTTCCCATGCAAAACTAGACAGATGGCTAACAACTTCAATAAAACTTCCAAGGCGTGACTTTTCTTGAACGAATGTATTGAAAACGTTTATGTTGTGAAACTGCAAATACAGAAAATAATATACTTTAGTATTCAATTCACATTGACATACTGTAGCTGTACATTATACATTTCAAGTTGAAGTTGCATAAATACAAAGCAAGTGCCAAGTTACCATGTATCTGACATGACGACAAACCAAATAGATAATTACTGTATGAGTAACAACTAGCCAACTCCTTTCATTACTCTAATAATGTACAAACACCTCTGTAAAATAACAAAGCATATTACACTAGAAACAGTAACAACTATAGTATGTTTTACCCTTCTTTTACATGACGCACGAGCAAACTAATACCGCTGACGACATCCATGAAAGTCAATGCAATATGCGTGAGTAAATGTAACCAACTAACATTGATAAGTAATTCTATCAATAACAATATTATCATCACTAGCAATATGCTTGAATTGAACTTACAAACAAATATTTTCCGAGGCTGAAGCGTAACAAGAAATAGTTGCACAGAAAGAACTGTACAGTAGTGTTGTTTCTAGCTGCTTGTCTGCGTGCAGAATGACTACTCTAACTTCTAACAGGATGGCAGCACAGTGCCGATGCCTGGATCACTTTATTAGAAGCACATGATTAACGACGTACGAAGCTTTGTTTCGTCGAACAACCACCTGATTGGTTTGGTATTGGTAGAAGACATGAAGACTACACTGCGCACATGCTATGGAGTGTGGGACGTGGTCTATAATAATTTGGCTGCTATACATTATTTTGACCAGCAGGTGCAACTATTGTACACTGCGTTGATCAAAGCCTCAAGTAATGAACCTATTTTTGACACAATATACTGGAAAACCTCAGTGCTTCATTTCCCCATCACTACCTATTGGAATCCAGCCAGAGGGGATATCCAACATTTGGTATTTTTCAGAATGAATTCCAGGGTTGAGAAGACTACCTGGCAGACAAAGATATACAGTGAGGGAAAAAAGTATTTGATCCCCTGCTGATTTTGTACATTTGCCCACTGACAAATAAATGATCAGTCTATAATTTTAATGGTAGGTTTATTTGAACAGTGAGAGACAGAATAACAACAAAACAATCCAGAAAAACACATGTCAAAAATTTTATTACTTGATTTGCATTTTAATGAGGGAAATAAGTATTTGACCCCCTCTCAATCAGAAAGATATGTATTTTATACAGGTAACGAGCTGAGGTTAGGAGCACACTCTTAAAGGGAGTGCTCCTAATCTCAGTTTGTTACCTGTATAAAAGAAACCTGTCCACAGAAGCAATCAATCAATCAGATTCCAAACTCTCCACCATGGCCAAGACCAAAGAGCTCTCCAAGGATGTCAGGGACAAGATTGTAGACCTACACAAGGCTGGAATGGGCTACAAGACCTTCGCCAAGCGGCTTGGTAAGAAGGTGACAACAGTTGGTGTGATTATTCGCAAATGGAAGAAACACAAAATAACTCTCAATCTCCCTCGGCCTGGGGCTCCATGCAAGATCTCACCTCGTGGAGTTGCAATGATCATGAGAACGGTGAGGAATCAGCCCAGAACTACACGGGAGGATCTTGTCAATGATCTCAAGGCAGCTGGGACCATAGTCACCAAGAAAACAATTGGTAACACACTACGCCATGAAGGACTGAAATCCTGCAGCGCCCGCAAGGTCCCCCTACTCAAGAAAGCACATATATATGCCCGTCTGAAGTTTGCCAATGAACATCTGAATGATTCAGAGGAGAACTCGGTGAAAGTGTTGTGGTCAGATGAGACCAAAATGGAGCTCTTTGGCATCAACTCAACTCGCTGTGTTTGGAGGAGGAGGAGGAATGCTGCCTATGACCCCAAGAACACCATCCCCACCGTCAAACATGGAGGTGGAAACATTATGCTTTGGGGGTGTTTTTATGCTAAGGGGACAGGACAACTTCACCGCATCAAAGGGACGACGGACGGGGCCATGTACCGTCAAATCTTGGGTGAGAACCTCCTTCCCTTAGCCAGGGCATTGAAAATGGGTCGTGGATGGGTATTCCAGCATGACAATGACCCAAAACACACAGCCAAGGCAACAAAGGCGTGGCTCAAGAAGAAGCACATTAAGTTCCTGGAGTGGCCTAGCCAGTCTCCAGACCTTAATCCCATAGAAAATCTGTGGAGGGAGCTGAAGGTTCGAGTTGCCAAACGTCAGCCTCGAAACCTTAATGACTTGGAGAAGATCTGCAAAGAGGAGTGGTACAAAATCCCTCCTGAGATGTGTGCAAACCTGGTGGCCAAATACAAGAAACGTCTGACCTCTGTGATTGCCAACAAGGTTTTTGCCACCAAGTACTAAGTCATGTTTTGCAGAGGGGTCAAATACTTATTTCCCTCATTAAATTGCAAATCAATTTATAACATTTTTGACATGCGTTTTTCTGGATGTTTTTGTTGTTATTCTGTCTCTCACTGTTCAAATAAACCTACCATTAAAAATTAAAGACTGATCATTTCTTTGTCAATGGGCAAACATACAAAATCAAACTTTTTTCCCTCACTGTATGAGGCTACCTAAAGCATCTAAACAGGAATAACCATTTAATTAATGGGTGCATTAAGTCCAAGTTACATTATAGATTAGTTTAGAAAATGAATGTCATTTATATTTGTTTCAGCATAAGATTAATTAATCAATCAATACGCAGACATAGATATTGAAAGAAACATTTCAAATAGTCAACCTGCAATAGAGCATGCTGGGAAATATGATAATGATGGGTGTGGTTTTGGTTCACAGTGATGTGTATGAGTTTCAGCCCCGTTGTAGGGTAAAAATAGTCCCAGAGACCTGGCAGTGTGGTGCCAGGATAACAACCTCTCCCTCAACGTGATCAAGACAAAGGAGATGATCGTGGACTACAGGAAATGGAGGACTGAGCACGCCCCCATTCTCATTGACGGGGCTGTAGTGAAGCAGGTTGAGAGCTTCAAGTTCCTTGGTGTCCACATCACCAACAAACTATCATGGTCCAAACACACCAAGACAGTTGTGAAAAGGGCACGACAACGCCTATTCCCCCTCAGGAGACTGAGGATCTGAGGACCCATGCCAAATCTTTTCAAAGTTCTACAGCTGCACCATCGAGAGCATCCTGACTGGTTGCATCACTGCCTGGTATGGCAACTGCTCGGCCTCCGACCGCATGGCGCTACAGAGGGTATTGAGTATGGCCCAGTACATCACTGGGGCCAAGCTTCCTGCCATCCAGGACCTCTATACCAGGCGGTGTCAGAGGAAGGCCCAACATTTTTTCAAAGACTCCAGCCACCCTAGTCATAGACTGTTCTCTCTCTCTGCTACCACACGGCAAGCGGTACCGGAGTGCCAAGTCTTCTTAACAGCTTCTACCCCAAGCCATAAGACTTCTGAACAGCTAATCAAATGGCTAACTGGACTATTAGCATTTTTTTTTGTTTAATGTATTCTTATTTATTTTTATGCTGCTGCTACTCTCTGTTTATTATCTATGCATAGTCACTTTACCCCTACCTACATGGAAATATTACCTCAACTAACCTGTACCCCCGCACATTGACCTGGTATCCCCTGTATATACCCTCATTATTGTTATTTTATTGTTACTTTTTTATTTGTTTTACTTTAGTTGATTTAGTAAATATTTTCTTAACTGCATTGTTGGTTAAGGGCTTGTAAGTAAGCATTTCACAGTAAGGTCGACACCTGCTGTATTCGGCACGTGACAAATAACATTTGATTTGACTTGGTGAAGTCCATAGGACCGAAACTGTATGAATTCAATAACCATGCTTCTGTCACTAACAAATAGAAATATGGGTGGTAACTACAATTCACTCAAGGCAAGGCACTCTGGGAAATTATTGAATAAGATTTGACACTAAGCAGTGTGTTTAATTTAACACTGGTTCCAGTGTGTACAGTGGGGAAAAAAAGTATTTAGTCAGCCACCAATTGTGCAAGTTCTCCCACTTAAAAAGATGCGAGAGGCCTGTAATTTCCATCATAGGTACACGTCAACTATGACAGACAAAATGAGGAAAAAAAATCCAGAAAATCACATTGTAGGATTTTTAATGAATTTATTTGCAAATTATGGTGGAAAATAAGTATTTGGTCAAAAACAAAAGTTTCTCAATACTTTGTTATATACCCTTTGTTGGCAATGACACCGGTCAAACGTTTTCTGTAAGTCTTCACAAGGTTTTCACACACTGTTGCTGGTATTTTGGCCCATTCCTCCATGCAGATCTCCTCTAGAGCAGTGATGTTTTGGGGCTGTCGCTGGGCAACACGGACTTTCAACTCCCTCCAAAGATTTTCTATGGGGTTGAGATCTGGAGACTGGCTAGGCCACTCCAGGACCTTGAAATGCTTCTTACGAAGCCACTCCTTCGTTGCCCGGGCGGTGTGTTTTGGATCATTGTCATGCTGAAAGACCCAGCCACGTTTCATCTTCAATGCCCTTGCTGATGGAAGGAGGTTTTCACTCAAAATCTCACGATACATGGCCCCATTCATTCTTTCCTTTACACGGATCAGTCGTCCTGGTCCCTTTTGCAGAAAAACAGCCCCAAAGCATGATGTTTCCACCCCCATGCTTCACAGTAGGTATGGTGTTCTTTGGATGCAACTCAGCATTATTTGTCCTCCAAACACGACGAGTTGAGTTTTTACCAAAAAGTTCTATTTTGGTTTCATCTGACCATATGACATTCTCCCAATCCTCTTCTGGATCATCCAAATGCACTCTAGCAAACTTCAGACGGGCCTGGACATGTACTGGCTTAAGCAGGGGGACACGTCTGGCACTGCAGGATTTGAGTCCCTGGCGGCGTAGTGTGTTACTGATGGTAGGCTTTGTTACTTTGGTCCCAGCTCTCTGCAGGTCATTCAGGAGGTCCCCCCGTGTGGTTCTGGGATTTTTGCTCACCGTTCTTGTGATCATTTTGACCCCACGGGGTGAGATCTTGCGAGGAGCCCCAGATCGAGGGAGATTATCAGTGGTCTTGTATGTCTTCCATTTCCTAATAATTGCTCCCACAGTTGATTTCTTCAAACCAAGCTGCTTACCTATTGCAGATTCAGTCTTCCCAGCCTGATGCAGGTCTACAATTTTGTTTCTGGTGTCCTTTGACACCTCTTTGGTCTTGGCCATAGTGGAGTTTGGAGTGTGACTGTTTGAGGTTGTGGACAGGTGTCTTTTATACTGATAACAAGTTCAAACAGGTACCATTAATACAGGTAACGAGTGGAGGACAGAGGTGCCTCTTAAAGAATAAGTTACAGGTCTGTGAGAGCCAGAAATCTTGCTTGTTTGTAGGTGACCAAATACTTATTTTCCACCATAATTTGCAAATAAATTCATTAAAAATCCTACAATGTGATTTTCTGGATTTTTTTTCCTCAATTTGTTTGTCATAGTTGACATGTACCTATGATGAAAATTACAGGCCTCTCTCATCTTTTTAAGTGGGAGAACTTGCACAATTGGTGGCTGACTAAATACTTTTCCCCCCCACTTTAACACTGGAGAATTTGCTGTGTAGCATAAAAAAAAGTATGTTTTCTTCCATCTAATGAAAATGACCCATATTTTTAACCTATTAGAGTTCATGAAGGAGACAGGACCAGGAAAGTGAGCCCTTAAAGTGTATTGGAGACACCGGCTGTATTTCATTTCAGTATCTCCTCTTCTCTCTTTGGTGTCTTATTAGGCTACTCAGGGACCCTGTAACACCCCCAAGCCAGGGATGCTTGACTTTGTCGGCAAAGCCAAATGGGATGCCTGGAAGTCTCTGGGCTCTGTAGCTCAGGTAATCTACATTCCAACATTGCATATACACTGAGGATACAAAACATGTGCCATTGTCTTCACACAATGGAATTGACAGACATTAATTAATACACTGTATATCTCCTTTTTCCTTCCTCTCAGGAGGATGCCAGACAGCAGTATGTGGACTTGATTGACACTCTGCTGGCTGCTGAGGGGCCTGCGGTAGCTACACAGCCCACTGGGAGCGCTGCTACCTTTAATACGCTGCTGGTCTCCACGGAGGACAACATCACCACTATCCGCCTCAATAGGCCACAGAAGAAGAATGCCATCACTGTGGAGGTATTTCAAAAGCATTAATTTATTAAGCATTAGTGTCATAGTCTATCTCCCCCCGCCCAACATCAGTGGCAGTCTAAACAGTAGACACATTTTGTAGATAGACAGTTGTAAGTACTACATAACAATGTGGGACCATAGGTAAAGTGTCCTAAGGCAAAGTGTTACATATGTTGTAGTATGATTTGGTGTTTTTTTCAATTAAATGCCTTGTCATAGTGAATGATTACTTACTGTCTATGAAAATAGCAATTACTAACATCCCAAATATCCAGTAATCATCCAGTTCTTCAATTCTGTTATTTCAATTGTTTCCCTCTTGATATCCAGATGTACAACGAGATCATCAAGGCTTTGGAGCAAGCTGGCAAAGATGACTCTGTCATTACTGTAATCACAGGTAGAGCCAAACCAACCTATTTCTCCCATGGAAATAATGAATGCATTATGGAGACCTTATACAGTTGAAGAGAGTATCAGTGATATGAATATGCACTATTTTGCTGGACCAGAAATTAACACTAGGAATAAAGAAAAGTCAGCACACAGTATATTATTACGGTGCAGGAAAAAAGCATGTGGGAGCAAGATTTACTGTGTGCAGGCTTTTCTTTCTTTATACCTTCAAGGCTTTACCGTGATACAGTAACTTGACCTGACGGGCCGCCCCCAGGTGGTAAGGGTAGGTAACAACACATCTGCCACTGATCCTCAACACAGGGGCCCCTCAGGGGTGCGTGCTCAGTCCCCTCCTGTACTCCCTGTTCACCCATGACTGCATGGCCAGGCACGACTCCAACACCATCATTAAGTTTGCCGACGACACAACAGTGGTAGGCCTGATCACCGACAACGATGAGACAGCCTATAGGGAGGAGGTCAGAGACCTGGCCGTGTGGTGCCAGGATAACAACCTCTCCCTCAACGTGACGTAGACAAAGGAGATGATTGTGGACTACAGGGAAAAAAAGAGGACTGAGCACGCCCCCATTCTCATTGACGGGGCTGTAGTGGAACAGGTTGAGAGCTTCAAGTTCCTTGGTGTCCACATCACCAACCAAACACGGTCCAAACACACCAAGACAGTCGTGAAGAGGGCACGACAAAGCCTATTCCCCCTCAGGAGACTGAAAAGATTTGGCATAGGTCCTCAGATCCTCAAAAAATTATACAGCTGCACCATCGAGAGCATCGTGACTGGTTGCATCACCGCCTGGTATGTAAACTGCTTGGCCTCCGACCGCAAGGCACTACAGAGGGTAGTGCGTACGGCCCAGTACATCACTGGGGCCAAGCTTCCTGCCATCCAGGACCTCTATACCAGGCGGTGTCTGAGGAAGGCCCTCAAAATTGTCAAAGACTCCAGCCACCCTAGTCATAGACTGTTCTCTCTGCTACCGCACGGCAAGCGGTACCGGAGTGCCAAGTCTAGGTCCAAAAGACTTCTCAACAGCTTCTACCCCCAAGCCATAAGACTCCTGAACAGCTAATCATGGCTACCCAGACTATTTGCACTGCCCCCCACCCCCACCCCATCTTTTTACGCTGCCACTACTCTGTTAATTATTTATGCATAGTCACTTTAACTCTACCCACATGTACATATTACCTCAACTAGCCGGTGCCCCCGCACATTGACTCTGCACCGGTACCCCCCTGTATATATAGCCTCCCTACTGTTATTTTATTTTACTCCTGCTCTTTTTTTTTCTCAACACTTTTTTGTTGTTGTTTTATTTTACTTTTTTTAATTAAAAATAAATGCACTGTTGGTTAAGGGCTGTAAGTAAGCATTTCACTGTAATGTCTGCACCTGTTGTATTCGGCACATGTGGCCAATAAGATTTGATTTGAACTTGCACTGCTCCAGTCTTCTCAATTGCTCTATGTGGCTGTCCCTAATTGATGAAAGCTGTTCTTGTTCACCCCCTCAAGGTAGTGGAGACTTCTACTGCAGTGGCAATGACCTGACAAACTTCACCCAAATCCCTGAGGGCGGAATCGAGCAGATGGCAAAGAATTCAGGCGAGTTGCTAAGGTAAGGACTTACCCAAGAGGAGCAGGCAAGAGTTTACCTTGAGAGACCCTTTTTCATCACTGTTGATATCCTCTGCTGACAAATCAGTGTGTGTGTGTGTGCAGGGAGTTTGTCAAAGCGTTTATCGACTTCCCTAAGCCCCTGATTGCAGTGATCAACGGTCCGGCTGTGGGCGTGTCTGTCACTCTACTGGGCCTGTTCGAGATTGTCTATGCCACAGAGAGGGTAAGGTGCTTTGTCATGTCCACTCAGTGTTGGCTAAGAACACATTTATATTGTATCTCTATACATGTCTGTTAGTTGATAATACAAGATTAGCATTGGTTTATATCAGGGTTGGGGTCAATTCCATTTCAATTCCAGTCAATTCAGAAAATAAACCCAATTCCAAATGTTCCTCATTGAAAAGCAAAGGAATTGGAATTTCAGTGTACTTCCTGAATTGCCTGGAATTGAACCCAACCCTGGTTTATATTAAGGTTCTCCAACTCCAGTCCTGGAGAGATACTGGGTGTCCAGGCTTTTGTTCCTGCCCACCAGCACTAACATACCTGCTAAGCATGGTCCCGATTGTTGTGACCACTAGTGCACCACCCATAATACCACAACGTCCACATTGCCATTCTCTACTGCCATGCTTCACTATACTCTGCAGTAAGAGGTTGGGGTTTTTCCTGCCTAACGTGTGCTTCTCCCCCCTCCTGACAGGCTACATTCCACACCCCCTTCAGCCAGCTGGGACAGAGCCCAGAGGGCTGCTCCTCCTACACCTTCCCTAAAATGATGGGCAATGCGAAGGTATGGATGCACAAACTTGTTCCTTTGCTGCAACTGATGCACTTCATAGAGGGGTATTCTCAGGCAGCTATCTTCTCAGTTTCCCTATTTCCAACATCAATGCATGATTGATGCAAAAAAGCCTACACACGGATCAATTTTTTTTTTTATACCTCTGTATTTTATTTGAATGTATTGAATTTGCAATTGGAATTGAATGAAATGCCACTAATAGACATTGCCATACTCTGTGACTAGGCCAGTGAGATGCTGCTGTTCAACAAGAAGCTGACAGCCACCCAGGCGTGTGCCCAGGGCCTGGTGACCGAGGTCTTCCCTGACAGCAGCTTCCAGACCGAGGTGGCCACCAGACTCAAGGCCTACGCCAAGCTGCCCAGAAACGTGAGTAAAAGCCCCAGCAAATATTGAATGTTTGTGTATTTTGTGGAATGTATTAATCAATATTCCTGGAACGTATCAATATTGATGAAAGCTGGTTGTATTTTACAGAACTTCCTTTGGAATGTTCCAGGAATTCTGCATTATTTATTATGTTATTGGCCGTAGCTGCGCTTCCGTGGACCAGAGGGCGCCACATTGTGCAAATTGAATTTAGTTCAGACACCCCTGATGGACAGCACAGTTGAATATTCAAAACTGTTAGTGAAGCGTCACTAATATATGATATGGCAGTATATTTAAACCACAATATTACATAATCGCTAACACAAGCAGAGAAAATATTACAGGATATTACGTCTGGATAGCAATGATGGCAAGGCTACAATATTTGCACAATTGGTAGGGAGTTACAGACAACAATTGGCAGGGAGTTACAGACAACTGGGAAGCAAAATTGTAGTTGTATAATGGTTAAAATGCAGATTGTTTTGCTTCAGATCAGTAGAAGAGATAAGCCTATAATTGTTTGTCATGCATGCCAAAATAGATTTCATCTCACATTCAGCCTTTGATTCTGCTTTGTGACAAACTTTGCCGTCATTTGGGATGTATCATTCACTTACTATTGTTACTATTGGGCAAGGCATAACCAATACACAATGTAAATGTATGCAAAGAATTCATAAAGTCGCAGGTTTGATGCCTTCATTGCATGCAAAAATCAACAAATAAAAACCTTCTCTGTCTAAATACATATGGAGCACTGTACTTGAAAAAATATATATATATATTTAAAATGTATTTTTTATGTCAGTCGTGTTATTATGAATGGAGAGGCTGCGGATCTGACTTTTCTGGACCCCTTATCCCGGGGTCTAAAGGTCCTGAAGCTTCTCTAGTTACGCACAGTCTCTGCTCTACTCGTAGAGAACAGGCTACTATGGTGAATGGTGCTCGTTTAATAAATCAGTGTATGCAAGACCACATTATGATAGTGTTGTACATAACATAACCGAATATAATAGTATAACGTTACTGTAAGACAAAATTAGATTTTAGGATGATTTTGCGAATGGTCGCATTTTTCTTTCATGCGGCCACAACTCTACAGCACGCGCCACTAGGCAAAATATGTGCTTTGATTGAAACAAAACACAGGTAGGCTACAGTTAACACCACCATCTAAAATTGGCTCACTGTAGGCCTACATAATTCAAAACAACACTGTACATATCTAAGAAGATCTAAACATATTCCCATGAAACTCAACCTCAAAGACGGAGCTGTTCTTCCTCCCGGGGAAGGCTTGCCCACTCCAAGGCCTCTCCATCACGGTTGACAACTCCACGGAGTCCCCCTCCCAGAGTGCAAAGAACGTTGGCGTGACCCTGGACAACACCCTGTCGTTCTCTGCAAACATCAAGCAGTGACTCGCTCCTGCAGGTTCATGCTCTACAACCTTTTTTCACACAGGAGGTGGTGCAGGTCCTAATCCCTTGTCATGTCCTGTCTGGACTACTCGCTGTTGGCTGGGCTCCCCGCTTGTGCCATCAAACCCCTGCAACTTATCCAGAACGACGCAGCCCGCCTGGTGTTCAACCTTCCCAAGTTCTCCCATGTCACCCCGCTCCTCCACACACTCCCTACCTTCGGGCTAAGCGCAAAAACCTACACCCCAACCCGAGCACTCAGTGCTGCCAGCTCTGGTCTCTTGGCCATCCCAGTCAAAGCTCAGCCCAGTCAAAGCTCTTCTCTCTCCTGGCACCCCAATGGTGGAACGAGCTCTCTCCTGACGCTAGGGCAGCAGAGTCCCTGCCCATCTTCAAAAAATTTATGAAACCCTACCTCTTCAAAGAGTTTCTTAAATATGACATCTCAGTCTTATTCCATAACCCCCCCCCTCCCCCCATACAATTTTTTTAAAAATAGAAAGCTTGTACTTATTTGACCCCTCTGCAAAACATGACTTAGTACTTGGTGGCGAAACCCTTGTTGGCAATCACAGAGGTCAGACGTTTCTTGTAGTTGGCCACCAGGTTTGCACATATCTCAGGAGGGATTTTGTCCCACTCCTCTTTGCAGATCTTCGCCAAGTCATTAAGGTTTCGAGGCTGACGTTTGGCAACTCTAACCTTCAGCTCCCTCCACAGATTTTCTATGGGATTAAGGTCTGGAGACTGGCTAGGCCACTCCAGGAACTTAATGTGCTTCTTCTTGAGCCATTCCTTTGTTGCCTTGGCTGTGTGTTTTGGGTCATTGTCATGCTGGAATACCCATCCACGACCCATTTTCAATGCCCTGGCTGAGGGAAGGAGGTTCTCACCCAAGATTTGACGGTACATGGCCCCGTCCATCGTCCCTTTGATGCGGTAAAGTTGTCCTGTCCCCTTAGCAGAAAAACACCCCCAAAGCATAATGTTTCCACCTCCATGTTTGACGGTGGGGATGGTGTTCTTGGGGTCATAGGTAGCATTCCTCCTCCTCCAAACACGGCGAGTTGAGTTGATGCCAAAGAGCTCGATTTTGGTCTCATCTGACCACAACACTTTCACCCAGTTCTCCTCTGAATCATTCAAATGTTCATTGGCAAACTTCAGACGGGCCTGTATATGTGTTTTCTTGAGCAGGGGGACCTTGCGGGCGCTGCAGGATTTCAGTCCTTCACGGCGTAGTGTGATACCAATTGTTTTCTTGGTGACTGGTCCCAGCTGCCTTGAGATCATTGACAAGATCCTCCCGTGTAGTTCTGGGCTGATTCCTCACCGTTCTCATGATCATTGCAGCTCCACGAGGTGTGATCTTGCATGGAGCTCCAGGCCGAGGGAGACTGACAGTTCTTTTGTTTCTTCCATTTGCGAGTAATCGCACCAGCTGTTGTCACCTTTTCACCAAGCTGTTTGGCGATGGTCTTGTAGCCCATTCCAGCCTTGTGTAGGTCTACAATCTTTTCCCTGACATCCTTGGAGAGCTCTTTGGTCTTGGCCATGGTGGAGAGTTTGGAATCTGATTAATTGAGTGTGCTCCTAATCTCAGCTTGTTACCTGTATAAAAGACACCTGGGAGCCAGAAATCTTTCTGATTGAGAGGGGGTCAAATACTTATTTCCCTCATTAAAATGCAAATCAATTTATAACTATAATCTATTTGTAAGTCGCTCTGGATAAGAGCGTCTGCTAAATGACGTAAATGTAAAATGTAAATGATAACATTTTGACATGCGTTTTTCTGGATTTTTTTGTTGTTATTCTGTCTCTCACTGTTCAAATAAACCTACCATTATAATTTTAGACTGATAATTTCTTTGTCAGTGGGCAAACGTACAAAATCAGCAGGGGATCAAATACTTTTTTCCCACACTGTAACTTATTTTACTTAGTATGACTGATATGTGGTTGTCTCACCTAGCTATCTTAAGATGAATGCGCTAACTGTAAGACACTCTGGATAAGAGCATCTGCTAAATGATGCTGCATGGACGTTTCACGATTGAAAGTGAGAAATGTGAATGGAGGGTGACCACAACACTTTGTACATAAAATAGAGGTAAAGAAACGCATGCAGAACATGATACAGCTCTTTCTAGGGTATCCAGGGAGGGCAGAACGGGGCGGTTACCTACGGATCCGCAGCCGCGGCCTATTATGAAACCAAAGACACATTTCCACTTTTATTTTGATGGACAGTAACGTTTTTCTAATCCTATCTATTTGACCTCTACCTTTTTCCCATGGCTGTTCCCTGGCTGTCCAGTCCCTAGCCCTGTCCAAGCAACTGATCCGTGGAACAGAGAAGGAACGTCTCCACACTGTCAACGACCAGGAGGTGGAGCGCCTGGTGGAGCGCTGGCTCTCAGACGAGTGCATGCAGGCCATCATGAGCTTCTTCCAGGCTAAGGCTAAGCTGTGAGGGGATCCACCCCCTCCCCCCAGAGACCCACAGACAAGAGCACCTAACCTGAGTCATGCTCATTAGGAAGAAAACAGACCGAAACACGGAGGCATTACCACAACCTGGAAACGCTCATTTACGTTTCCCGTTGCAAAACATTTGAAAATGTATTTTGTTATGTGCCCTAATGATCATGACTCACATCACACCAACCTGAACCCCCCCCCCCCTTTCCTCCCATAGTACAGCTCTAGGGTGCCCAGTGGGCCGCACCAGCCTAGATTCACTAACCTGTAAGAAGAGATGTCAATGGGATAAAGCCTGTAACCACGCTGAGCCTTGAGCAGATGCCTTTTTTCTCGTACAATTTTATCAGATGGGTTTTGTAAATTAATTATAATAGTAGTATTATTGTACAGTATGAACAAACAAAAACCCGTTCTGTACATTCTGTAGATGTTTAACTGTTGATTTTGCTTGTTTTTCAATTAACATATCTGGGCATTCGATGTTTTGAAACACCAGTAATGGAATGTACTGGTAACTGCCAAAATAAAGGAAACGCCAACATAGTGTCTTAATAGGGCGTTGGGCCACCATGAGCCAGATCAGCTTCAAGGCACCTTCACATAGATTCTACAAGTGTCTGAAATTGTATTGGAGGGATGCAACACCAATTATTCTATGAGAAATTCCATCATTTGGTGTTTTATTGATGGTGGTGGAAAACGCCGTCTCAGGCACCGCTCCAGAATCTAGAATTATTCAATTGGGTTGAGATCTGGTGACAGTGTAAACCATGGCATATGGTTTACATTGTTTTCATGCTCATCAAACCATTCAGTAACCACTCGTGCCCTGTGGATGGGGGCATTGTCATCCTATGGGGACATAGCCATTGTAGCCAGGAAAATGGCAGAAGTTATGGCCTGCCCAGCATTTTATACATGACCCTAAGCATTATGGGACGTTAATTGCTTAATTAACTCAGGAACCACACCTGTGTGGAAACACCTGCTTTCAATATACTTTGTGTCCCTCATTTATGCAAGTGTTTCCATTATTTTGGCTGTACCTGTAACTTTCATGGACTAAGCTTCCAAGAGGTGCATATGGTCAATTGAAGGTGGGTAGTGCCTTACAGTCCAAAAAGGACTGAGCAAAGAGGATTGTGTCCAAAGGTATTTTATATGCACTAAAAATGATTATTGGAGATGGCATCATTGTTTCACACATCTATATCTATTTGATTGCAGTAATAAATACATTTTCGAGGATTATTTTTTCTCCAATGTGTATTTTTGTGACGAAGGGACAATTATGGTGAAGGATTGTAGGATAGGTCTGCCATTTCACTTAGTATCCTGTAGAGGGCGTACTGCACCAAAAAACAATACAACAGCTTTTCAAATCAAATCAAATAAAATTGTATTGGCCACATGCGCCGAATACAACCGGTGCAGACATTACAGTGAAATGCTTACTTACAGCCCTTAACCAACAGCGCATTTATTTTAAATAAAAAAGTAAAATAAAACAACAACAAAAAAGTGTTGAGAAAAAAAGAGCAGAAGTAAAATAAAATAACAGTAGGGAGGCTATATATATACAGGGGGGTACCGGTGCAGAGTCAATGTGCGGGGGCACTGGCTAGTTGAGGTAGTTGAAGTAATATGTACATGTGGGTAGAGTTAAAGTGACTATGCATAAATAATTAACAGAGTAGCAGCAGCGTAAAAAGATTGGGTGGGGGGGCAGTGCAAATAGTCCGGGTAGCCATGATTAGCTGTTCAAGAGTCTTATGGCTTGGGGGTAGAAGCTGTTGAGAAGTCTTTTGGACCTAGACTTGGCACTCTGGTACCGCTGGCCGTGCGGTAGCAGAGAGAACAGTCTATGACTAGGGTGGCTGGAGTCTTTGACAATTTTGAGGGCCTTCCTCTGACACCGCCTGGTATAGAGGTCCTGGATGGCAGGAAGCTTGGCCCCAGTGATGTACTGGGCCGTACGCACTACCCTCTGTAGTGCCTTGTGGTCGGAGGCCAAGCAGTTGCCATACCAGGCGGTGATGCAACCAGTCAGGATGCTCTCGATGGTGCAGCTATAGAACTTTTTGAGGATCTGAGGACCCATGCCAAATCTTTTCAGTCTCCTGAGGGGGAATAGGCTTTGTCGTGCCCTCTTCACGACTGTCTTGGTGTGTTTGGACCATGATAGTTCGTTGGTGATGTGGACACCAAGGAACTTGAAACTCTCAACCTGTTCCACTACAGCCCTGTTGATGAGAATGGGGGCGTGCTCAGTCCTCTTTTTTTTCCTGTAGTCCACAATCATCTCCTTTGTCTTGGTCACGTTGAGGGAGAGGTTGTTATCCTGGCACCACACGGCCAGGTATCTGACCTCCTCCCTATAGGCTGTCTCATCGTTGTCGGTGTTCAGGCCTACCACTGTTGTGTCGTCGGCAAACTTAATGATGGTGTTGGAGTCGTGCCTGGCCATGCAGTCATGGGTGAACAGGGAGTACAGGAGGGGACTGAGCATGCACCCCTGAGGGGCCCCTGTGTTGAGGATCAGTGTGGCAGATGTGTTGTTACCTACCCTTACCACCTGGGGGCGGCCCGTCAGGAAGTCCAGGATCCAGTTGCAGAGGGAGGTGTTTAGTCCCAGGATCCTTAGCTTAGTGATGAGCTTTGAGGGCACTATGGTGTAGAATGCTGAGCTGTAGTCAATGAATAGCATTCTCACGTAGGTGTTCCTCTTGTCCATGTGGGAAAGGGCAGTGTGGAGTGCAATAGAGATTGCATCATCTGTGGATCTGTTGGGGTGGTATGCAAATTGGAGTGGGTCTAGGGTTTCTGGGATAATGGTGTTGATGTGAGCCATGACCAGCCTTTCAAACACTTCATGGCTACAGACGTCAGTGCTACGGGTCGGTAGTCATTTAGGCAGGTTATCTTAGTGTCCTTGGGCACGGGGACTATGGTGGTCTGCTTGAAACATGTTGGTATTACAGACTCAGTCAGGGACATGTTGAAAATGTCAGTGAAGACACTTGCCAGTTGGTCAGCACATGCTCGGAGTACACGTCCTGGTAATCCGTCTGGCCCTGCGGCCTTGAATGTTGACCTGCTTAAAAGTCTTACTCACAACGGCTACGGAGAGCGTGATCACATAGTCATCCGGAACAGCTGGTGCTCTCATGCATGCTTCAGTGTTGCTTGCCTCGAAACGAGCATAGAAGTGGTTTAGCTGGTAGGCTTGTGTCACTGGGAAGCTTGCGGCTGTGCTTCCCTTTGTAGTCTGTAATAGTTTTCAAGCCCTGCCACATCCGACGAGCGTCAGAGCCGGTGTAGTACGATTAAATCTTAGTCCTGTGTTGACTCTTTGCCTGTTTGATGGTTCGTCGGAGGGCATAGCGGGATTTCTTATAAGCGTCCGGGTTAGAGCTCTACCCTTTAGCTCAGTGCGGATGTTTCCTGTAATCCATGGCTTCTGGTTGGGGTATGTACGTACGGTCACTGTGGGGACGACATCATCGATGCACTTATTGATGAAGCCAGTGACTGATGTGGTGTACTCCTCAATGCTATCTGAAGAATCCCGGAACATGTTCCAGTCTGTGCTAGCAAAACAGTCCTGTAGCTTAGCATCTGCGTCATCTGACCACTTTTTTATTAACCGAGCTTTAGTTTTTGCTTATAAGCAGGAATCAGGAGGATAGAGTTATGGTCAGATTTGCCAACTGGAGGGCGAGGGAGAGCTTTGTATGCGTCTCTGTGTGTGGAGTAAAGGTGGTCTAGAGTTTTTTTCCCTCTGGTTGCACATTTAACATGCTGGTAGAAATTAGGTAGAACGGATTTAAGTTTCCCTGCATTAACGTCCCCGGCCACTAGGAGCGCTGCCTCTGGATAAGCGTTTTCCTAGTGACTTATGGCCTTATACAGCTCATTTCAGTGCAATCTTAATTCCAGCATTGGTTTGTGGTGGTAAATAGACAGCTATGAAAAATATAGATGAAAACTCTCTTGGTAAATAGTGTGGTCTACAGCTTATCATAATATACTCTACCTCAGGTGAGCAAAACCTTGAGACTTCCTTAGTATTTGATTTTGTGTACCAGCTGTTGTTTACAAATATACACAGAACGCCACCCCTTGTCTTACCGGAGTCAGCCGTTCTATCCTGCCGATGTAGCGTACAGCCCGCTAGCTGTATGTTATCCATGTCGTCGTTCAGCCACGACTCGGTGAAACATAAGATATTACATTTACATTTACATTTTAGTCATTTAGCAGACGCTCTTATCCAGAGCGACTTACAGTTAGTGAGTGCATACATTAATTTTTTTATTTTTCATACTGGGAATCGAACCCACAACCCTGGCGTTGCAAACGCCATGCTCTACCAACTGAGCTACATCCCTGCCGGCCATTCCCTCCCCTACCCTGGACGACGCCGGGCCAATTGTGCGCCGCCCCATGGGACTCCCGGTCACGGCCGGCTATTACAGTTTTTAATGTCCCGTTGGTAGGATAACCGTAATCTTAGGTCATCCAATTTATTTTCCAATGATTGAAGATTGGCTAATAGGATTGATGGGAGCGGCAGTTTACTCGCTCGCCGTCGGATCCTTACAAGGCACCCCGACCTACGTCCACGATATCTCCGTCTCTTCCCATGCGAATGACGGGGATTTGGGCCTTGTCGGATGTCTGTAGGATATCATTCGCGGCCGCCTTGTTGAAGAAAAATTATTCGTCCAATACGAGGTGAGTAATCGCTGTCCTGAAATCCAGAAGCTCTTTTTGGTTATAAGAGACGATGGCAGAAACATGATGTACAAAATAAATTACAAATAACGCGGAAAAACACACATAATAGTACAATTGGTTAGAGGGCTGTAAAACGGCAGCCATCTTCTCCGGCGCCAGTTTTCATTTGAAAGATGAGCTAAGGATGATTAGTTGCTAATTGTATACATAACATTTTGGTTCAAATGTTGGTATACCTAAATTATATAATATTAATACATTTCTTATCTCATGAAACCTGTCTGCTTTTGCTCATGGGTATGGGGAGGTGTGCGTCTGTTTCCAATGAGCTAAATTCAGGACACTATTTCTGTCCATTTGGAGCGACCCCTTTTGGCCCAAGAGCACCCCAGAGGCGCATTCCAATACTTCTTCTATTCACACCCTCTGCACTAGATGGCGTAGGTCCTCTATCCATTGGATTAGGTTTGATAGGCCAACGCAGTAGGTCTCAAGGCATTAATGATTAGTTAATTTCCCTCTTGCATGACGTTTCAGACAAACACAACTGACGGGGAAATGCATTATCACGTCATCCACTGAGGGGCCCCCACACTGGGCTGTCCGTAACCCACTTAAGGGCCCTGGTTTGCATGTCACACCTGGTTGCTTAACCTTTCCCTGACCGATAGCAGCTAGGCCTACATAACAACTTGTTTTTGCCAAGCAAATCACTTGTAACGATAAAGCGGTCCGCAAAGGTTAGCTTTCCTATCTGTGGGCTGAAAATTCAAATGGCTGTGAACTGAATGGATATGGAATGTGATAGGTTGGATGAAA